GTTTCCCTCATTTCCCTCTGTTCTCTTTGTTTTTGTGGGATTATGCTTGGAAAAAACAAACGACGACAACAAAATCCCCACATGTGTATTGTGGTTTCAGTGGGCTTTCAGGAGGAAATAAAAATAAAAGTGTGTCTTTTTGAGATGATGTTTTTACCCTTTCATTTTTATCTTTGTGTTCACAGTGTTCTGAATCACCTCTGCCTCTCTTCCCTGCTGCTCACACCCTTCCCCCTGCTCAGGGTCCTCCTCTTGTGCCCTGTCCCTCTGGTCTACTCATTTGTTAAGAGCCGACTCTGCTAAAACCTCCCCATAAACTGACCTTTCCAAGTGAGAGTGATCTTTCCTTCCTGAGTTCACAAAACATTTTTTTTTTTTTTTGGTGTAGTTTTCTTTGAACTCATGGTCTACCTCTTTTTTATGACTTGTTTATGTTTTGTCAGATAAATTTTATTTTATTTTTGAGATGGAGTCTCGCTCTGTTGCCCAGGCTGGAGTGCAGTGGTGTGATCTCAGCTCACTGCAACCTCTGCCTCCCGGGTTCAAGTGATTCTCCTGGGACTACAGGAGAAGGAGGAGCTGGGACTACAGGTGCACGCCACCATGCCTGGCTAATTTTTGTGCTTTTTGTAGAGACAGGTTTTCATCATGTTGGCCGGGTTGGTCTCTAACTCCTGACCTCAGGTGATCCGCCTGCCTCGGCCTCCCAAAGCGCTGGGATTATAGGTGTGAGCCACTGTGCCTGGCCTGTCAGATATATTTTAATTTCTGATGATGGGTGATGATTGTTTCTTTGCCTTCATGCAATGCTTTGCATGTAGTAAATACTCAAATTTTTTTTATCAACATATATTTTTTTCAGTGATCTTTTTCTGGTCTTAAGTTAGACAGGATATTGACCATTGCTGTATGCCATGGTTAATGCAAAAGTAGGGTGCTATTTCTAGTTGCAGATACTTTTCTTGAAATTTGCACATGCAGGTAATATGTGAAGCTTATGCATTATACATGTCATAACTCACGAAAGCTCATTAACTTGTTGCATAGGATAATGATGCTGTTTATAGAATCGTAGGTTAGGAAGTAGTCTGTCCTTAAGACTTTGAGCTGTTCTCTCTTACCACATCCTGGAGTAGAGTGGGCCTCAGCATTCCTTGCAACTTGCATCTTGTAGGGTTACCTCTGCTTACATTCCAACTTAGTCTTTGGAAATGTTCTCTCTAGCACTAGGCCAGGTGAAGGTCATGTTCTTTATCTGAATAAGAGCAGTGATTCTTCATGTGGTTTTGTCTCCAGGTTTCTTCTGTGGGTTTGGACCTATCCTTGCAAGCCTTGCCCCATGGGGACATTCACTGCTTGATCATCTATTTGATGGATGAACTCTGCTCCTCATTTGTTGCTGTGTATGATGGAGTTTTGGTTGTCGTAATACACAATTATTGTTAAAGTCTTTTGTTATTTTAAGTGGACATATCCTGAATGAGAAACCTTCTTCTTTTTTAATTGAATGTTGTGTCATGTTTGTTTATTCACCCAATGACTGATGCAATTATTGTAGAATTAGAGTTTATTGGTAGTATGAAAAGTGGCTTATCATAACTTTTATCTTCCCCCTAAGAGATGGGGCCTCACTCTGTTGCCCAGGCTGGAGTGCAGTGGTGTATTCACAGCTCACTGTAGCCTTGAACTCTTGTGCTCAAGGGATCCCCCTGCCTCAGTCTCCCACTTAGCTGGGACTGCAGGTGTGGGTCACTATGCCTTGGCCTTCTAAAGTTCTGGGATTACAGGGATGAGCCATCATGCCAGACCTTATCACAATTTTTTGCTCAGCTACTTTTCTAAGTGTCTATGGACTGGACAGCAAAGATTCCTACCGTTATTATTTTAAACTTTTAATGCAAACTACTACAAAGTCGAATCAGTAAGTATGTTCTAACTTTTTCTCTATTGGATACTGGACTCTTCCCTTAAAAATAAAGCAAGTCCCCTATTCATTGAAAGAGAATTATGTTATGAAAGCTGCCAGTTAAAATCTCCCAAGAGACCACTGTTCTAAGGAGTTGTATTTCTCAGTGGCAAAAATATCCTTCCTGGTTTTTAAACTCTTGTGGGAGGAGGTCAATTTTACATGTTTTTTTTTTTTTCAATGCAGCATGCTCTGTTGGGGTTACTGTTGATCTCCTGCTCAGTTCTTTTCAAAAAGTCATATCCGTTCAGCACATTTTTGTGGAGTGGCATTTAGTAAGTGGCAGCCTGATATTTGCCTTGGCATGATGTTATCATGACTGCTTGGCATAGCTGACTGTTGAGTCAGGACCCCTCCAGAAGCAGTAGTCAACTGTTGACTCTCAAAATTAGAAAAGCCTTGATCAGTTAGTTGGAGGATTGTAAGTCAAGTTTATAGAGTATTTCAAAGAGGGGGTAACAAATTCTGCTGATAGACCAAATAAGATGAGGACAGACAGCAGACTTTTGTGTTAAGCATTGTGGAGGCTGTTGTGGATGTGATGGAAGAGGAAGCCTGATTGGAATGGGGTTATGGGAGAAAAACACGCTTGAAGCAAGTATGGACAATTCTTTAAAAAATTTTGCTGTGAAGATCTTCAGAGAATTGGTATAATAACTGGAAGGCAAAGTAGTGTCAACGAAAGGTTTTGTGCGGCGTGTGTAAAAATAGTTCACAGCCTTTAAAGGCTGGAGCTTGACACCTGACTGCTATCTTCCGTGCGATTGTGGTTTTTAGGAACATTAACAGTGGGACAGACTGGGCTCTGTGGCTCATGCCTAATCATCCCAGCACTTTGGGAGACTGAGGTGGGAGGATTGCTTGAGCCCAGGAGTTGGAGGCTGCAGTGAGCTATGATTGCACCATTGTACTCCAGCTTGGATGACAGAGCGAGACTCTGTATATAAACAAAAGGAAACAGTCGGCTGGAGTTCCACTGCTGATCTGCTTTGGGGGTGTGATGGTCAGGAAAAGCTCTTGGAGAAGAGGATGCCTGAGAAGTCTTGATGAACGGACAGGGCTGGCCTGGAGGGTAAGGTGGGGTCTAGGCATTGGAGGCCTTGGGCACGGAGTTGGGGGGAAGTTGTGCAGGGCCTAACAGGCTGTGAAAGGGAAAATGCTGGGGAAAAGGTGGAAATGTAGCAGGTTCTGAGGGATGAAGTTATGAGGTTGAGAAAGTCCTTAGGTGGGGATTTATTTCTAAGGGGTGGCTACAAATATTATATAAAGGCTGCAGATAATGATCTCATCTGGAGGGAGTGAACAGGATCAGGAGGCTTAAAGAATGTTTTCGTAAGCCACATTTTGGAGGTCGGTGTGCTTGTGTGTGTGGAAGTATTTTAGAAATGAAAGCTGATATTTAAGTTGATTGGTTCACCCTTGAGCTTGCTTGGTGGGAAGAGGTGGGCAGGATGTGGCTATTCTAAGTGGCCACGGGGCACCTCTTCCTTATTCACCCCCAGGACATTATTTCCAATTTTCCTTGAAGAGGAAATACCATTTACCATTAGTAAATGGTTTTGGGACTTCATTCTTTGGGGATTCAACACATCTGGACATGACAAATTCTGGAGCTGTCTCAGTGGCAGGTGTCCCAAGGACTCTTGGATGATATTGTAATTGGGATTCATGTGCAGTCAGAATAGGCCCCACAAATGAAGAGGATGCCAAGGGGTGTGTGTGTGTGTGTGTGTGTGTGTGTGTTTTACAAACTTAACTGTCAGCGTTCTATATAAATGATTCCTTTTATAGAGGTCCAGTTCAGAGGAACTCTGTTACTTGCATAATGGTTTTAATGGTAATGCTTACTAACTTTGAGGATTAAGGTCTGAGTTACTTGCTGTGCTGGTTTAAAAGTGACAAGGATTGATCATTCTGCATTTTTAAAATAAGCATTCCATTTTAGTGATTCTTAGGCATGCTTTGTTAGAGATGGACTTGGAGAACTTCTTAAGAATATGGATTCTCCCCGCACCCCTTCTCCAGGGTCTTGGTCAGTAGATCTGTAGTAGGGTCCAGGAATCTGTATTTGAAGTCTCATTAATCGTTTGCCTCCTTCTTGCAATCTTTGCTTTAGGAAAGAACTGTACCAAACATCACCTTTTAGGTTTGAAGAATGGAGGATTAACTTGAACTTTTGGATAGCAAAAGCAGTAGGGAATGGTGAAACATACAATTTAGTATATTTTCATTTGAACATGTATGTGAAAGTGATGTAGAAGTTCAGAAACACACAACGGTATTCCTTCAGATAATTTGAAAGCAGAGTTTTAAGGATTTTAAAATATGCATACACCATATAAAAGTGTATAAAATTTAAAATATGTCCTTTTTGTTTTCATTCTCCCCAATCCCACTGCAGGATAACCACTGAAAATTTGTGTGTGTGTGTGTGTGTGTGTGTGTGTGTGTGTGTGTTTAGGCATTTTGATGTGTGTGTGTGTGAGATTTTGTCTCTGTATAAAGAAACTCAAACCACACAGGATGTGCTTTGTTCACTGGTCTTGTCAGCACCTTCTGTGTAAGAAACACTTTGAGCCACCAAGTTGTGCAAACTACTTTATGCAGATAAGCAAAAATACGAATTCTTCAGACACATAATATGTGCTGTTTGCTTATTAGAATATTTCTGTAGATTGCACTGGGGGAATTAATAAGTATGATAAGTATTTCATATATTGGGCAGTAGGAAATGTAGTATGCTTTAGAGAAACCAATATTACTTCTGCAGCACATATTGCTGGTTTGTGCAGTTCTATTATAATAGAGTATCAGCATCAGAGCCAAAGGGAAGAGTGTGTATGAGTCACTCCATAAAAGGAGCAGTGACTCAATACCAAACTTAGGGTGCTGCCTGAATTTTTAATCAATTGCAGTATTGTTGATATGGGGTTGATTCCTTTTTATGGGCAGGAAGTTATCATGGTTTGAAATGTCTAATTCCCTTTTAGTGATGCTAACTTGCTGTATTCAATGTTTCTGTTCTTTCGTATAGGACCCAAACTACTGGATACAAGTGCATCGCTTGGAACATGGAGATGGAGGAATACTAGACCTTGATGACATTCTCTGTGATGTAGCAGACGATAAAGACAGAGTGAGTTCAAGTCCTGGGGAACCTTTTTGAATGCATTTTTTTTTTTCTTTTCAGGGCCGAGGACCGGGTGCGATTCTTTTCCTTTCTGTTTTAGACACATACTTTAAATTATGTTTGGGCCACCCACTCTAGTATATTTTCTTTTGTGATAAGTGTCATGAATCTTCACTGTCTTGAATACCAAGGTATAATGATTTTCTTGATACTTGGGACTTAACACTAGATTTTGGGGTTTTAAAACTACAGCTTTTACAATGGAAATATCACAAAAAGATTTCTGTGCCATATTCCACCTTAATTTAACCAAACATAACATCTTTCTTCACAACTCGGGCCTGTCTTTATCATCTCCATATATACAGTGTACAGCCGTTCTGCATTCTGGTCCCAGTGTTGGCCCAGAGAAGATTGATCCCAACAGCGGCCTGTGCGGTGCACCGTGTTCCTGTGCGACGGGCGAGTGTGTCCCAGGCAGCCTCCCCTGTGTGGGGCCTGGCCCTTAGGAAGCTCGGCCTTGCTGTGTGATGGGCCATTTGTGTCCTGGGCAGCCTCTCCCATGCAGGGCCTGGGTCTCAGGAAGCTCAGCCTTTTCTCTGTCAGTGCTCTGATGCCCTGTGTGTGCTTCCCCGGTCTTTACTGTGGTATGTGAGTTTGGCTCCTGGACGTTTCTACCTACTGCTCTTCCGTGTTCCCTCCCACTACCCCACTTTTTTTCTGTACTCTTGAGAGGAATGAAGAAGAGTAAGAGGAGGGGGAGGAGGAATGTTCATCGTTTTGAGAATGCCTGACAGGATGTTTGGCTCTTTTTTTTTTTTTTTGAGACAGAGTCTCGCTTTGTTGCCCAGACTGGAATGCAGTGGCATGAGCTCACCTCACTGCAGCCTCCGCCTCCTGGGTTCAAGCGATTCTCCTGTCTCAGCCTCTTGAATAGCTGGGATTATAGGCATGCGCTACCATGCCCGGCTAATTTTTGTATTTTTAGTAGAGACATGGTTTCACCGTGTTGGTCAGGCTGGTCTCAAACTCCTGACCTCATGATTCGCCTGGTTTGGCCACCCAAAGTGCTGGGATTACAGACATGAGCCACCGCACCCAGCCCTGGCCACTGCTTTTGTATTTGGCAGAAGGGCTCATAGCCACATACATAGTTACATCAGCATGGTTGTATGGAGGCAGCGACCTGGTTGACTGTCTCCTAAAACCTCATGGCAGTAGCACAGGATATTCAACCAGCTAGGTTACCTCACGAGGTCAGAATATGGTAAGATCACCCAGATACTCACTCTGCTTCCTACTGGGGCTCCCTCTGGTTGCTGGCCCTCTCCCTGCCAGCCTGCTCTTCTTTCCCTCAGCCGTGAGCTGGGTGCACACAGCTGTTGTGTCTTGCTCACAGCTATATTCCTGACAGCATCATGCCTAGAGTTGGTGCATATCTTAAATTTTTTTTTTTTTTTTTTTGAGACGGAGTCTCGCTCTGTCACCCAGGCTGGAGTGCAGTGGCCAGATCTCAGCTCACTGCAAGCTCCGCCTCCCGGGTTCACGCCATTCTCCTGCCTCAGCCTCCTGAGTAGCTGGGACTACAGGCGCCCGCCATCTCGCCCGGCTAGTTTTTTTGTTTTTTTTTTTTGTATTTTTTTTAGTAGAGACGGGGTTTCACCGTGTTAGCCAGGATGGTCTCGATCTCCTGGCCTCGTGATCCGCCCGTCTCGGCCTCCCAAAGTGCTGGGATTACAGGCTTGAGCCACCGTGCCCGGCCTAAAATTTCAAGTAAGACAAAAAAACATCAAATACCAAATATTGTGTTAATTTGGAAGATTAGATTCACTGTTGCACCTGTCACTGTGGAGTTTGTCCCATGTGGCTCCTGTGGGCCAGGAATACATTGTATCAAAAAATGCAGAAGTTTTCTGCCTTATGTTCTGATGCTATTTTTCTTGGTGTCATTTCTCCTTCTTGGGCTTTTGAGTGAGCCAGGCTTAGGGTAACTCTGAAATCCTTTTCTGCAGTCCACTTGAAGAGGACCATCTTTCATTTATTGTGTGGCTCAATTCCAACATTTAAGGCAACTACAGAGATTTATGAAGAATTTAAACAGGTGCTCTTTTTCCACCAGAATGTTTGAAAGGGATGAATTAATGTATCAATCTTTCAATGTCTTCCTCTTCTCCCTCCTTCTTCCTTCTTTTTTTTTTTTTTTTTGGTCTTCTCTCCTCCCTCTCTTTCTCGGTCCCTCTCTCGTTGTTACTTCCTATGTAAAAATAGCACAACTCCATGTGAGGAAAAATTGGAAAATGCAGAAACATACAAAGGAACTAATCGCCTGCCATCCTGCTGTTGCTGAGAGCTCATCACTGTTGTTTGAGGTTTTCATCCTGACTCTTCCCTTTCTTCAGATAGATAGAGACACAGTCTTTTTCTTTTAAACAAAAACTTGAATAGTAGTTTTTTTTTTTTTTTTTTTGAGGTTAGCATATATATATTTCTGTGACCATGAACCATAGCTATGCCAACGTGGCTGTGTAGTCTTTTGTTTAAATTTAATTTACTGATTTAGAGACCCAAGCTGTCACCCAGGCTGGAGTGCAGTGGCATAATCATAGCTCACTGCAGCCTCAACCTCCCAGGCTCAAGTGATTTTCCTGCCTCAGCCTTTTATTTTAAAAAGAGTTGTATTCTAGATTCAGGGGCACATGTGCAGGTTTGTTATATAGGTAAACTGAGTGTCATGGGGGTTTGGTATACAGATTATTTTGTCACCCAGGTAATAAACATAGTACCCAGTAGACTAATTTTTTGATCCTCTCCCTCTTCAAGTAGGCCCTGCTGTCTGTTGTTTTCCTTTTTATGTTCATGTGAGATCATGCATTATTTGATTTTCTCTTCCCATGTTAGTTCACTTAGGAATAATAGCCTCCAGCTCCATTCATGTTGTTGCAAAAAACATAACCTTGTTCTTTTTTACGGCTGCTTGGTATTCCATGATATGTTTGTACCATTTTTTCTTTATCCAGTCTACCACTGATATGTATTTAGGTTGATTCCATGTCTTTGCTATTGTGAATAGTGTTGTGATGAACATATGTGTGCGTGTGTCTTTATGGCAGAACAATTTCTTTGGATATATACATAGTAATGGGATTGCTGGGTTGAATGATAACTCTGTTTAAATTCATTGAGAAATTGCCACACTGCATTCCACGATGGCTGAACTAATTTACATTCCCACCAGCAATGTATAAACATTCCCTTTTCTCCTCACCCTTGCCAGCACCTGTTATTTTTTGACTTTTATTTTTTTCCTTCAGATTTCTCACACCACACGGATGTATTGTTTGACTTAATAATAGCCACTCTGACTGGTGTAGGTGATGTCTCATTGTGGTTTTGATTTGTGTTTCTCTGATAGTAATGTTGAACTTTTTTTCATAAGCTTATTGGCCATGTGTATGTATTCTTTTGAAAAGTGTCTGTTCTTGTTCTTTGCCCCCCCCCGCTTTTTTTTTGAGATGGAATCTTGCTCTTTCGCCCAAACTGGAGTGAAGTGGTGCGATCTCAGCTCATTGCAACCTCCGTTCCCTGGGTTTAAGCGATTCTCTGGCCTCAGCCTCCCGAGTAGCTGGGATTACAGGTGCCCACCACCATGCCCAGCTAATTTTTGTATTTTTAGTAGATACAGGTTTTTGCCATGTTGGCCAGGCTGGTCTCAAACTCCTGACCTCACGTGATCCACCCACCTTGGGCCTCCCAAAGTGCTAGGATTACAGGCGTAAGCCACCACGCCTGGCCTCTTTGCCCACTTTTTAATGGGGTTGTTTTATGCTTGTTAGTTTGCTTAAGTTCTTTATAGATGGTGTGTATTCACCCTTTGTTGGATGCGTAATTTGCTAATATTTTCTCCTGTTCTGTAGGTTGTTTACTCTGTTGATAGTTTCTTTTGCTCTGCAGAAGGTTTTTAGTTTAATTAGGTCCCATTTTTCAATTTTTGTTTTTGTTGTAAATTTTTTGCTGTTTTCATCATAAAGTCTTGTCCAGGACCTGTAGTCAGAATGGTATTTCCTAGGTTATCTTCCAGGGTTTTTATAGTTTTAGATTTTATGTTTAATTCTTTAATCTATCTTGAATTGATTTTTTTTTTTTTTTTTTGAGGTGAAGTCTTGCTCTTATCACCCAGGCTGGAGTGCAATGGTGCGATCTCAGCTCACTGCAACCTCTGCCTCCCAGGTTCAAGTGATTCTCCTGCCTCAGCCTCCCGAGTAGCTGGGATTACAGGCACGCATCACCATGCCTGGCTAATTTTTGTATTCTTAGTAGAGATGGGATTTCACCATGGTGGCCATGCTGGTCTCGAACTCCTGACCTCAAGCGATCCTGAGCCTGCCTTGGCCTCCCGAGGTGCTGGGATTATAGGCGTGAGCCACTGTGCCCAGCCCTTTGAATTGATATTTATATGTGGTGTAAGGAAAGGGTTCAGTGTCAATATTCAGCATATGGCTAGCCAGTTATCCCAACACCATTTATTGAATGGGGTGTCCTTTCCCCATTGCTTGTTTTTGTCAGCTTTGTCAAAGATCGGATGGTTGTAGGTGTGTGGCATTATATCTGGGCTCTCTGTTCTGTTCCATGGGTCTGTGTGTCTGTTTTTGTACCAGTACCATGCTGTTTTGGTTACTGTAGCTTTGTACTATAGTTTAAAGTTGGGTAATGTGATGCCTCCAGCTTTGTTCTTTTTTCTTAGGATTGGCTTGGCTATTCAGGCTCTTTTTCAGTTCCATGTGAATTAATTTTTTTTTTTTTCCTAATTCTGTGAAGAATATCATTGGTAGTTTGATAGGGGTAGCATTGAATCTGTAAATTTCTTTGGGCAGTATGGCCATTTTAACAATATTTGTTGTTTCAATCCAAGAGCATGGAACATTTTTCCATTTGTTTGTACCATATCTGGTTTCTTTGAGCAGTGTTTTTAAATTCTCATTGTAGATATCTTGTCTTTGGTTAGCTGT